TTATTTGAAATAAAAGACACCACAGAGTCTGCCACATCTGTTTAATATTTGGATGTTTTACTGACTATAGACGATAAGGGCCAACTAACAACTAAACGAGATGACTTCAACTTTTCCATCGTCAACTTTCCTTATTTCTGTAGTAATATTCTGCTATCACTTGCATATAGTGTTTATGTCTCCCAGTTTATTCGATACTCAAGAGCATGCTTTGAGTACGATCATTTTTTAAACAGAGGCAGGCTACTGACAGATAAGTTGATGTTACAGGGATTTCAACAACCTCGTTTAAAGCCAGCATTTCGTAAATTCTATGGCCGTTATAATGACCTTGTTAGAAAATATAACCTACATTGGGTCGTATTTTAGCTGACGTGTTTCATACAAATTGTTAGGCCTTTGTTTTATATGAAATTTTACTACGGAATGATCCGTCTACCTAATCAATACGTAGGGCTCACGGCGGGTGTGACCAGTCAACAGGGGATGCTTACTCTTCCTAGGCACCTAATCCCACCTCTGGAATTTCCGGAGGTCCGTGTTTTATATCCTGTTCTTGTATTGTTTGTAGATTTTTTTTTTTTTTAGATCGATCACTGTTCGTTATCTTCACCTTTTTTCATTTTAGTCATGAATGAACAAAGGTGCAACCAAAATTAAATGAAATAAAATTTTTTTTTTAAGATTACAGTATTTTCAAGGAATACTGTTAGTTCCAGTACCTTTTGGAATGACAGCTTAAACATATGAAGAAATAAATCGAGAAAAAGCGCACTTTTTTGCGTACAATAAATATACACTTTTTTGCACATTGATGCATTTTATACTTAGCTTACGATTTTCACTGATTTTCTAATCATGAAAGTAAAAAGAATGTTGACTGTTAGGATGAAATAGTACTCTAACTACATTTTTTAATCATAAAAATAATGTTGTTATTTGAATTAAATTTTCATCAACCAATGTTTCAGTCACGAGGAAGACAGACCTGTCCTCTGTTGTCCTTTTTCACGTCCTCCATTTTAGTCAGACGATCGTGTTTGACCAAGGGGAAGGAAGCAGCTGAACGCTATGCATGCATATTTACAATTAATTAGCAATTAATATTCCTAACACGTCAACTGCATATTATGCATGCTGTGAATAATCCTTTGAGTAATATTTCTGAAAATGAAAAATTAAGCAGCTGAGTCAATTCTGTTGCCGTTCAGATAATGAATAATTTAAAAAAATTGAATGACAAATATATCTTTTAAAACATATCGTTTTACCTGTTATTTACTATGATAAAATGCATATCTTTATTCCAGAGTAAATAACTCACCTTAAGTGCGGCATAATGTTTAATGATTTAATATATTTGAACACGAAGGAAAAAAATCTTTGAATTCTGTCTATAATTCAAATCAGTATAGTCATACGAAAGTATTCGATTTATATGTATGTAATAATGACATTGGAATGCATTCTTCCCATGTCTTGCTGAAAGTCCTTTGTATTGATTTTAATGGCGTTTAAACTTGTGCCATACACAGAGTGTACTGCGAAACCTTAATGAATGTCGAAAGAAGTCGATGTTGTCAATTTTGATTGAGTAGACAACAGCAACAACAAATGTATATATACTAACAGTATTTCTTCACTCGGCAATTATCGAAACAGCTTACGTATGTGTGAACGGAATTAAAAATAGAAAAAAAGAACTATAGCCTAATGTCTTTCACAGCAATTTGTTGAAAACCAATAGTATCAAAAAAAATCACTATAAACAACATTGTACATGAAAGTCAACATGGTTTCAGGAGTAAAGTCAGGAATTCAGAAGTCATGTCAGACCCACCATAAGCATTTAATGTATTGTACGATTCTGAGCAAGCGGTAGCAAAACTGGTATTTCTGAAAAAAAAAAGGTTTGAAAAGCTTCATTAGCTATGCATGAAGTTTAGGTCTTATTGCAAACGAGTTTACCCTGGTAATACTAGTACTTAAAATGAAATTCAGACTCTTTAGCGATAAGACAGAAACATGTAACCTTGAAAGAAGAAAACTCCTGTAATTTATGTAACAAGGGCTGATTCTTGGGTTTCACAAGGAACACATATAAGCCCAAGTTATTTTCTGTTGTTTGTTAATGACTTGCAAGCTTTTGTCAGGTAATGTAAGACTCTTTGCAGTGTACTCTACTTGTTTTCTACTTTCGTTGCCAATTGTAAATACTAAATTGCGATACATAATGTTTATAATTATTTATGTATGTGTTTGTGAAAAGCAACTTAGAATGCTTTTAAATGCATTGTCTCTCAATTTAAAAAAAGTCTTTAATGTTTTATTACATGTAATAAGGACAAGGGCAACTCTGCTTACTTTTGAATATGTGAAGGATCTTGCATGCTTTACATGATCAAAGCTTTGGCTAATGATTTTTTTTAATGCAAAAATACCTTCGTACGATCTTTTTTATATATACATGAACATGATTTAAATTACACGGACATGTTTCCTATCTGTTAACTTATGGTACAAATGTCTTTGTTGAAATCGTCTTAAATGTTCTTAAAACGTCTTATTGTTCAGTCATGTTGTTTAGACTGATGGCAATGACCATATATTTGTCAACAAGAACAAATACCTTGTCGTATTAGAAGTTGAAAGACCTTTTTTGTTTCAATATTATCAGTATTTAGACTTCTATACCTTCCACTCCAGCCTCAGGACAATAGTTTAGAAAAGCCACAAGTTACTGGTATTTCTAGCCCAGTAGAACTGTACGTTGGCCTAGAAGTGTAAAGCTTTAAAATCCCATTTTACTGTGCACAGGCACTCGTTTCTTATACAGGGCACCCAGTACTGTGCCTGTGTTTGTTTGTTGTTTAACGTCCCTCTCGAGAATTTTTCACTCATATGGAGACGCCACCACTTGCCGGTGGAGGACTGCAAATTCAGACTTATACTCGGCACTCAGGGCTATTGGGTATTGAGGGATCTTTGTCATGCCAGCACCTACTGCGACATGGGACCTATGTTTATACAGTCTCATCCGATTGATCTATGTCTCCAACACAAAATTATTCTCTTTCTGTGCCCCCCCCCCCTTCCCATCTCTATTTCAAAACAACATTGAATGTTTCATAATAAATTATAAAACAAGTTGTGTTTGTGAAACATTGATGCTTCCGTATGGCAGCTTATGGCGAAGGTTTAAGTTTATCAAATGCTAGTCAAACTCTAGGTCAAAAGATACAAAATGTTGGTACCCCCCAAAAAGGTCTTATATATAAAGGAATATACCTAAGAAATATGAAAGCCCTAACACCAACCGTTGAAAAATTAATGGCGAAGGTTTAAGTTTTTCAAAAGTAAGTAAAACATCAAGGTCAAGGTTAAACGGTGCCCAAGGGAATGTCTTGTCACAAGTGATACACATGTATGTGAAATATGAAAGCCGAATGTTCAAATGTTCTGGCCAAGCTTAAAGTTTTTGCGGACAAACAGACAGACGGACAGGGTAAAAACTATATGCCCCCAATTCTACGGCAGCATAAAAAGAGAGTTTTGTCTTTGATGAGAAAGCTATTTTTTATAATTAGATTGGTCGAGTGATAAATGAGGCGTTTAGAAAGATACTTGGGCTGTGAGTCTAGTATATGTATGTATTTTATTGACCATGGCATGCATATACTATATGTAGTGTTGAGGGTGGAGAATCATGAATAAATTACATTGTAATGATAATTTTAATTAAATATGAACTATGCAGTAGATAAAGATTCTGACTGATTCCTGTCTGTTTATAAATGATGTGTGAAGTAAATAACTTGATATATGATTTTTCATTCCGTTCCGTTTTTTACCCGTGATTTTATGGTTACGTCCAAATTTAAGATAGACCAACAATTTTCATGGGACAAAAGGTTTCTCACTTGAAGCGTCAGCTGATCACTATTCCATTGGTTGAATGTGTGTCATTAATAATGATGAGAGCTGCAAAAATTTTGTAGTAGTAGAGCCACTTTTCTTTTTTCTTTTTGGAAATAGAATGGACACAAAATCTGTGGCTTGCGACGATGGTATCTAATCTAAATGGAAAATTTATTTACAAGTTTACGTAAAAAAGACAACAGAAACTTATGTGGAACTGGCAATAACTTGGGAACATCTATAAATTTATAAAAATGAGGTAGAGGTACATGCGTTTTGACTTATGAAATTATTCTATGAAAAACAGAATTCTAAAGTCTTACAATTAAAAATATCAATGTTAAGGAATTTTATGGAGCGTAAATTATAAAATGCCACCTATTTCTTGATGTTGCATGAATTTCAAGTCCAACAGAATCAGACGTTAGTGACGTATTGCGCTTCGTTGATTATATGATGCAAGTTTTGGTATACATGTAAGTAAAAGAATATTAGCACAGACTGGTCACTGTTTATTTTACTCATGTTTAAATCAGACTTTTCTAAAAAAGATTGATAACTTGCATGAAAACATAATTTTCTTGCATGTAGACATAATTATCTTGCATGTTGACAAACTTTTATTGCAATTTGACATAATTTATCTTGCATGTAAGGGGTAGAAATATGCCACCATAGTTTATCTACTATAATAATGCTTGATCAAATACCAAGACAAACTAAGGTTCGATCTTCATTTTTATCACTAGGGCGCCGCGACATATCGAACTATTTTTGAAAGGAATTGTAATGTAGTAATTATTTGGCAGATGAATTTACATTTACTCATTTCTCCAAACATTTCAATTTTAATTAGTTGCGGTCGTTGCTTAGTGTTATCAGATGACCTTCTGTTAAAAAAAATATCAATTACTCAAGCGGATCATAGATTACATGTGAATTAAAAACAGTGTAGAACTCTTTTGTGTAATGGGGTAGTTTTAATCACCTTTTCCAATCTGCCGATTTTCCTAAACACTAATCAGCTGATCCACGCTTAACATTCTTCACGCTTCGTTTGTTATTCAAAGGTAAACATTTAAATGGCGGTTTTGGTCATGTTTCAGGTGTTGTGACATGTGAAGAGTGTATGGTTGACAAGGAAAAGTAGACTTTTTTTGTAAGTAAATTTTATTTTAAATCAAACGTCTCTTCAAACATAATGGCAATTAAAATTCAAAGTTATGCGCTAAAAAAAAATTTTGATATTTTCGAAAAATGGTTTGCGAATTCTGTCGGTGGACTTTTCAAAGGAAATAACTATAATATTTCTGTCGTTTCAAGTAATTACTGATAATGACGTCAATCATTAATCCGATCTTGTGAAATAGTACTTAAATAATGTACGATGTCCCTCGGTCACCATAATATATAACGATGTTTTGTCAAAATATTTCCTCTGCAAGATCAACATCCTCAATTCTTATTCCAAGACCGTGCATTTATTATTTTGCATTCTGTTTTGGACAAACATTTCAAGGCTTTGGTTGACTAATGATCTTATTTTAATTTTAAGCTGCTACTGTAGTTACGTAATAGTGACATGAATGAAATCTGGTGAATTTCCAGTTAATTATGTAACAGTGATGTAGATGAATTATCACATTAAGGGTTCCAGAACAGAAAAATAGTCCCACAGCCGAACTTTTACGACTTTTCATGATAGGCAGTTTCCAACTAGGCCACCTACAATATATTAAAGCTATGTGTATATAATAGATTTATACTCAGATTTACTTGATATTTGTTCATTTTGGAATTTTTCTATCATTTCGATTTTTTGCCCGAAAAATTAAGCTTCTCTTGTATAATCTGTATATTACACATGTATTTAATGCATGTTAATAAACAGGTCCTTATGAGGAAGGCTTAGAATTCACCTTTCCCTGAATCCAATATTATTATATACTTAAGTATTTTTTTTTCATCAATACCCTTTGAATATTTTATCTATTTACTTCTGAATATTTTGACATTTACTTTCGAATATTTTAATACTACATTGTGAATATTTTGATTATCAAACTATTTATACTTTTGAATTTTCAGTTATCGAAAGGAATCTCAACAGTTGATCTGAAAAATATCTATGAATTAAACGATCTTAATGGCCACAAGAAGCTGGTCATGATCCAAAAAACTTCGCTTGATTTAATATCTATGTAAGCTTCTTGAAGTTTGTTCGACTTCTTGGCGAGTCTGAAATTATATTCTCACCAGCCTGATCTTTATTTATAAAGTAGAAATTAAATATCCGTTAATTGCAATAAACTTTAGAATTTTATTCCAGAAGTTGGACATACATGTAGGTTGCACACTTAGCACCGTTCAAATTCGGGGGGGGGGGGGGGGCGAGCGCACACAAACTTAACAAAAATGACATAAGTCGTACCACTAAGATTCTCAAAACTTAATATGCAACAAAATAATATTTTCTGTGAAAGTTTGGGTGATTATCCAACTCGTTGTTTTCAATACACCGCAAGATACCGTAAAATATTTCATTCCATAATTTTCTGACAACACAATGGAATTATATTATATGGTCTTGTTTGAATCAAACTGCATACCCACTAAAATAGAATCTGAATGTTTTGAACCTATGAACCTTTCTGTTCAGAAACATTGCTATATTCGAGGATAATTGGATCCTGGTTATTTACGATGGGTATATGGACCCCTAATGGCCTAATATTTCTCTGTTAAGAATCCCAGTAGCTTATACTTGCATTTTTTATCAGAAATTCCGAATTGCTGTTAAAATATTATTTCGTTTATGAACAATTTTGATGGATTTAAGTTCTTTTTCTCCATATTTTTATCTTAATTTCCTACTTTGACCAGTCATGTAAGAAATCTCACGGTGAGAGGAGAATGCCTACTGGAGCTTTGAAGTTCCTTCAACTAAATAAAAATATATAAAAGAAGGGGACAGAGACGTTTTAAAGCTCAGTATATCAAGTTTCAATTTGAACGGACAATGGTCAAGGCGTTTTGGGAGTTTGCTCGTAAAAATAACTCTTACTTTGACGCTGAAAAGTAATTATAAAGATTAAATCAGTTTGCAGATAGTAAAATACTTTAGATGACCTTCCCATAGATTTATTGATTAGATAAGCGAATCAATTCTTGTCAATTTCGTGAACTTATTTAATCTGTTTCTTACGTACATCTGATTCCAAATAGTCATATTACCTAATGGAGAAGACTCTCCGATACTTTGTTACAGTATTTCAATGACTATTTTGAATATTTAATTTATTTTTTATTTATCTAAAAAGTTTTTTCATTTGTTGTTCTTTTAAACTGTCTTGGTATTTCAGACAGGTATGTGTCAAATGTTGTTTAAGACCACCAATCCATCTGTCACCTGTGTGGTTGTAGATAAAATAATAAAAAAAACTTGAGAAAAGAGTTGGTTAGGAAACGGGTACAGCGTAACATTAACAAAAGGGGCGTAGTCGACGTACAATTTATCAATTTCAGTAACGAGATTTACGTCACATTTCATGGGGACTTCTCATCCCAAACCACACGTAACGTAAATGTGTAGTTCCTGTGGTAACCTATATTACGATGTCATCGAATAAAACAAACAAACAAACAAACGAAATATATGCCCCGAAAGAAATATTCATGTCAATGTGTATCACCCTACTTGTGCTTATTGAGAAATGGAACATTGAACAAAACCTGTAGATGAAGAACCACATTTAGTACTTGAAAATGTTATGTAAATAGGATATATATTTGACTGTCAAATCCAAACCTAGTGTATTTTTAGGAGAGTGTAAATGACATATTCTTCCCCATATAGTCTTTGCTTACAACACCTACAGTGTTATTATGTATTAAACTTTTATTCTTATTCATCGTTTACACAGGTTTAAAATACTTTGGCTTTGCATTTGATGCGATTCAAGAAAATTGTTGAATAGAGCAGAAATATGCGCCCACATAAATTCCTCCTGTATCATAACTGGTTTGAAACCCAAGTAATTTCTACTTTAGACAGGGTGCACACAGCCCATGAAAGAGATTCCATCTTTGAGTCTAGAATGAACTCATTTAAGCTAAGCTAGCTTCGATTAAATTTCAACAGAATGTCAACTATTCATAGCATAGGATTATACATTCTTATATTCTAAAATTCTGTCTGCATTTAATGCATAATAACTAAATGTTACTCACTGTATTTGCATTGTGACATCGAATGACGAAGCAAACACACTAAACATTTTGTTTTAATTCAAACATTTAATGTAAAAAAAATCAAAACAAAAAACAATTTTTCTAGTTAATTTATTTTTCGATTCTATAATATCCCTTTTATCATATGAGTTGGTTGATACTAGTAAATTGGATATAATTCATAAGGTTTCCTTATTTTGGATCAGCTAGCAGATGTATTGAAAGCAAAATATTTCCACTTGTTCAAAGTTAACAAAATCAAGGACTGTAGCGATTAATTTTGCGATAAACAACATATATTTTGGTATACATTTTCCTGTTGAATAAAAACGTTAAATGACTATGCTTGCCAGTTGTTGGTAGGAATTGTACAGAGCGAGCAGTCTTACCCCCTTTAGCTTTAAATAGAGACAAATTATTCTAACTTATCATTACATAAGGCGACATGGTAGGATGTGTTCAACGGAGACATCACCAATAATTATACAGGGTGTCCCAGAATATATGGTACCATTTCAAGATTCTGTAAAACCTAATGTAATGAATATTGAATTCTAACAAATGCATTATAAACAGTGCATATACTGTCCAATTTTATTCACATGATTTGACAGTCATTTAAAAGAAAACAACAAAATGACTTCACTTTGAAAAATGCAATGGTTTTTAAATGATGCCCTCTAAATGATGTTCTATCTGTGTAATGATAATGTCTAGACATTGCACAAAATTCCTTAACTTGAGACAACAGTGCCTGTCTCGGTAGTAACTTCTGAATTTTCATCAGAGGTAAACCTTTTATATATGTTAGGATTCTGGTTTGGGTTTAGCAGCAGTAACCTAAGACTAGGATTGATAATTACAGTTTCAAAATGAGGGTATCAAATTGCAGTTTTTTGCAAAAGTTTGATGTAAATTTGTTACGTTGCAATTTCATAAGTGTGAGAATTTTTATGGAATATTTTGTTGCTATAAAATTGTACTTATTCAAATAATTTTAGAGACAGGCCCGTAGGAAGCAAATTCACTTTGAGAGGGCACAACCATACATTTTCAGTTGAGGGGGCACTATCAACTACCAAAATTCCTTGACAAGAAAAAAAAAAAATCAGACGTTATTATTGAGGGGGCACAAGCATATTATATAGTAGATAAGTTTTCTAAAGTATTCTATATATCGGCAAAATTATTAAGGGGGGGGGGCACGGCCCCCGTGCCCCCCGGTTCCTACGGTCATGAGAGACATAAGAAATTGGCCAAGGGATGTGATTGTGGCAGGTATTTCAAATGGTATCATATATTTTGGGACACCCTGTATATGTTTGAAAATTCCGAATTTACGTACTATAGACAAGTGGTATCACAAAACAACAAAACATAGAGACACTTGCTACATGATTATAGCTTGTAAATATTGGCTGTTCTTTCCATATTTGAACAAAAATCAATGGATTTTTTTTTTTTTGAAAAATTCCTTTATTTGTAGAACAGGCACGATTTGGCTGAAATGAATAGGACCTGATATTGAAAAGTAGTGATCCATTAATGTTTTAACACTGATTAAATGACCCAGTTTGATACAATCTCAGAATAAAGAGCGATTCTACTAGCTTTCTTCTCTAGATCTTGATATATGAAGTGGTTTTATTTCTAAGTGCCTGGTTCGTATTTATCCCAGGGTGTTCCAACCCGTACACAATGAGTGACAGACAGATGACAAGAACGACCCAAATCTCGATATGTGTATTCAGAATATCGACAAATCATTTTAAAAAACTGATCCGGCACGATAGTCTGGCGTAGATTGACTTATCATTAGAATCAAAGAAACAATTCAGCACGGAATGTTACAAACATGTCATGGTCAGGTAGGGGTAGGCAGCCTGTACTGCTGAATTCTTAGGCCGTTTTCTGTGACAACTTCTGCACCTGTAAATTCCACACCAAAATCCTTTAGCTAATATTATACAGTTTACATATTAGTTACTATTTATTGTGAAATCAGAGATATTCACACCAAAATCCTACAGTTTATATATAGTTATTTGTTGTGAAATAAAATAAATCAGAGATAGCGCGGAAGAAAAAAACCGGTTAGACCTGTACTGCAAGATACGGATTGTCTCGACATTTCAGAAACCAAAACTGAAACTTAGACAGGTAAAGAATTGTTATTCTGTTTGCACACTAGCCACCGATTTCCTCATAACTGACAGGTTCCGGCTAAAACAGTTGTTAATTCATGATAACTCCTAAATATGGCTAGAATCACCGATGTGCTTTTTATAAAAACTTAAATGGCATTGTATAATCTTATCAAATATATTTTTTCGAGAATAATTATTGTTTAGAATTTTCCTCAGAAAATTAATAGAAATTTGAAGTTTCGTTTTAGAATATTTTAATTAAAATAAATTTAGGGAAGCACCAAGCTATGGCTAATATCGAGCTCGACTTTGGGTTCAAAGGGTTCCTTTTGGTTTACAAACAAGGTATTTGCCACGGCAGACCGAGTGCCATGAGTGTCTGCATTCTCTTTTACAGGTCCTACAGATTAATACCTGTGTAAAACATAATAAAGTTTTCAATACTTAGGCAAATAGACAGTTCTAAATTCCCCAGCATTGAATGTTAATTTTAGTTCTCTTATTGCTTGCAATCTATTCTGGCCTAGTTTTTGGAATTCAAACTATAAAATAATCAAGTGCAAGTATGAACATATTCTAAGCGCCCCACAACCAGCCGAAAGGAATTCGAAATGTCTGTTTTAAGGAGATGTAGGTTATAATACACGGACTCCTGGTCATTGTTTGGCAGACTGAATTCACTACACACCTGTCTAGCGCATAAGATCAGTTTAATTGTATTATTGGCCAAAGTACACAAACTTATCCTTGCCAAAGCAAATTTCAATTATAATTTTCCTTTGCTTAAATTTTAATCAAAGGGTTTTTGATGCGAGTACTTAAAGACAACCAAATTAGACACGTTTGGAATGTTCTGAAGTGTTTAAATTTGAAAATCAGTTAGAGTATCGGTGCCTCTATTTTCTTTATTGAAGCATTACATTATAACTTTTATTTTACCATTTGTAGTTTATCCTTTTTTCTTTATCGATGTTTGTGTATTTTTCATTGCATGATGGTTGCTATAAAGGCTCGTCTTTTAAATACATGTATTGGTAGATACTAGTGAATTTGCATCGGCTGTGTAATGAATTTTGCTTCATGCACAATTTGGCAATAACCTTAGTAGAATCTTGTTTGAGGGGATCCTGTTTAAAAAGTAAGCGCTTTTAAGCTTCAGATTTTTCTTGGGTTATAGGTTTTATTAGTTTTTTTAAGACGGGGTCATTTCCCCTCATTGTAACTCTAATGGCAAAGGACGCTGAAATTTTGGCGAAGGATTCAAGATTGGGCCCCATTTTCCGTATGTTAATTTGACGGTCTAAAGACTGAATATTGTTGTTAATTAGTTTGTGGTTTCTGTATATATGAAAGTTGTTTACATATTCAATGTGACATCGTCCAAACATTCTCGCCTATGTAGTAATAGAAAGTGCAATTGACTTTTCTCGGTGAAAATGAATCCATATTTGCTGAGAGTGTGTTCTCTTTATCTATGCATTATAAGTTCTAATTTTGGAAAATTAAACAAATATTTATTTTTTCGATACAATACTAGAAATGTAATGTTTTGGTTTCAACTAATATTTGAGAAGAATGGAGCAATATCTCGATTTTTTCAATACCTGTCAACACATACTGAGTTTTCGGTACGCTTTGGAATAAAGGGTTAAATGTTGATACATAGTAAAGACCAGCTGACAGCTTGAAAACGTTTATATTTACTTCTACAAAAAAAAAAAAAAAAAAAAAAAAAAAAAAAAAAAATGGAGTTGGTCGTGGAATAACACTGTTTAAAAAATCGACAGCATTATAATCGCTAATTCTCTGTGTATTTCAGAAATGTTTATAATGGAATTAGTACGATCGTTTTTACCACATGCCCTCTACTTAGGTGACTATTGACAATTTTTAAGTCGTTGTAGCGAACAGGTATTTTAATAAGAACCCACCTTAGAGCTTTATCCAATGAAGCGTGTCCTCGACGAAGATGACAGAAGTAAAGGTTGAATGTTAATTTTATTTCCAGCATAAATTGACGAACAGAAGTGATTTTCTCGCTTCACCTGACGTGTGATTTAGTTTAAAATAAAACTGCAGCCTTGATCAATAAAAATGCACGGTGTGTTGTGAACGTCACACGTGACGGCGAATACCTGCGGCACAGAAAGGATCAAGGTGTATTCTGCTGTTTTTTTTTTCTTTATTTAGTGTTAAACAATACTGTAGAAATATAATACGGAAATATTTGAATTCTACTTCACGGAAACACACATCGTGGCCCTGAGTAACCCTCTACCTCTGTGTTTAAGGGTAGCCCACTTTCCCTGTCAATCAAAACAGTGTTATCCGAATTTAATTCAAAACCGGTTTTGGTGAATTTCAAAACTGTGCTCTTTATTTCTGCTGGATCATTGACGGTTGTGATGATAAGATGTCTTTGTCAAAAGACGAGAATAAATATGATAAATTTATCTTATAAATATCTTTCCAGAGAGTGCATCTAAGAAGAGGTGACATTTTGGTGAGCGGTGTTCCTTGAAAAGAGATCCTGGAGTGTCATTAGTGCTTGTGTGCAGAACAGAAATATAAAACAACTGATAGACTATTTCACATCTGTGAATAAAGGTGAAATAAACAGTCATGGATAAAGGTTATATTAAGAAAAAAGCCTGGTACCTCGGAGAATGGCGTCAAAGTGTTTTAGCGGATACTGTGATCAACCAAATCCAGCAGCTGGTGAGGAAAAAGAAGGGGAGTGTTGTCAAGCTGTGCATGGCCAGGGATGGAATCCGTGTTTACATGTCAAATATAATACAGGGTAAGGTGCTAGTCAATCATGTACCCTTTCCTGACTTATACTTTATGACTGTTAATCAACACAATCCCAATTGTTTATTGGTGATCGCGAAGGACCCAAGACACAAGTACCGAATTCTCGCTTACCGCTGCGAGAATACCCTGGATGCTGGGCTTTTTATACAGTATTATAAAGATGTGCGGAAGTCTATGACGTCAGTAGAAGGATATAACATCGAATTAAAAAGGTCAGACGAAGGAAACTGGACCTTGAGATCTAAACAACATGAGGATCACAAACGACAATTAAAGACTATTGTTAACATGCAGACAGGAACGACGACCGCACAACAGAATGGGGCCATTCAAAACTCACATACAAAGGTAGCTGTCGTTAATGGACAGTCGAAACCGGACGAAAATAGAAACACAAAAATGGTGATTCAGACTCGCGTTGAAAAATCGCCACCATCATCTCCAAGAGAAAAAGTTACCTTGGAAAAAGTTTACCGAAAAGGTAAAAGTCAAAACAACATCGGAATACAAGCCTCCGGCCCTGGAACAGAGCGATATTCTGACAATGTATCTGAGACCTCAGATTCCAATCAATCGTTTCAAAATGAACTTAACTATCTATCTAACGAACTGCGAGAAATAAAATTCATGCTAGAGAAATCCACAGGAATAAGTGCTGAAGTTTACCATGACAAGAGTGGTAAGGAAATTCAGACTGAATCGTTTCGGACAGAACCTGATACCGAGTTGACGGTTAACAAGGCGCTGGAACCAATCGATGCCGTTGTCAGAGATGAAGAGGAAGATGAGGTCAAACTGAGAGAAGTCCAGAACGACGACGGCCCCGGCCCAAAAGTCCGTGTGTCTGTACCCGACTATCGAAGTCTAGGGGTTCAAGCGTCGTCGAAAACTCTTCCTCCACCCCCGGAAAAGCGCGCTGCAACACTGCCAGCTACTTTCCGACAGACACAGCCGGACGGCCCAGAATTACTTCGCGCGAGCACCACAAATTACCAGTCTTGGAAGGATGACGTTGTTCTTCGTGGCCGAGTAGGTGGTTCAACTAGACCAAGAACGGCTATATACAGTACTAGCAGCTATACAAGCACTGACGGAAGTATGAAGGGAAGTTTACGAGGGGTTCCAAACGGAGTCCATGTTCATTTTGATAGCGCAGTCCCAAAAGGATCCGTCGTTTACAGAAAAAAAGGAATATCCACCAACGTTCAAAAGCCTATCGAGAGAGTGTACCAGCGCCCCCATTCGGTCCATTCCACAGGTCGACCCTACGTTGTTCACCATCACCACCACCATAGAGGACCAGTTTATCAGACTGCGGTACCAGCCACATTGGACCTGAATCAAAATAAGGTGAACGAAGCAGTCATGACCAATGGTCATTCTCCCACTTCACCAAGATCTTCCACCGGAGCAGGATTCTTCATCCGAACGTGATTCTAACAAAGGTGCTCATACAAATATTGTTCATAATAAGTGCATGGACATTTCTATACTGTGAACCATGTAAAGATGCGAACAGTTATGAAAGGACCGTGTGTTGTAAATCTGGCACAAATCAGGAGATAGTTAAGTGAAGTGAAAGTCTACAGGTTATGTTTAACTGGATTTTTATTAAATTGATTTCTGAATCTGGGATTTTTACTTTGCAGAAACATTGCCAGAACTTATAAAGGCCAGTCGTGTTTTTGTTTGCAATTTGAAAACTGATATTAAAACCAAATCGGGCATTCAACCTTTGACTTGAGATATTTTAGTTACCTGTTTCTATGGGTTTTCTTGATGCTTGTTTTGCAGACAAAAGCTGTTTTACTGGTAATACTGATATCGGGTATCCGTGATTTGTGTCTCTTCCGCAAATAGTACATTTAGGGTCAACGATCACGTACATAATTATCTATAGGCTGAACAGAAGATTTCAATGGTCAACTAATGAGTGAAATAAAAATACATTACCATCCCATTGCCGACAGTGAGAGCATTATTTCATGGTAGATTAAAAAAAAATCTAAGAATTTGAATCAAATGTTAATGTTCGGTGAAATTATATACATGTGGTTTTGTGTTTCTAACCATACAGGCACTTATTAAATCTAAGAATAGATTTTGGAAAGAATTAAAAATCCAACCACAGAAATATTTTGTTAATTCCTAAGCCATTAGCTTGAACGGCTTTTTTCTACTCAACATAATCTATCAACAGTTTATGATATTATCAGCTGTGTTGGCACTTCGTTCAGTTTAATTCATTTGTTCGCGAAAACTTAATTGTAGGATAATATATTATCTGCAGAATTTATGAAAAATGCATTGTATAACAAATTGCTTTGCTTTGTGTAATCATATTACATAAACGTATTGTGTAATCAAATATATTTTTGTTTTTCACATGTTCAGAAGATTTACATTAAATTGTATAAAAGAAAACGGATTGTTTGAATTTTGCTTTCAATGCGTGAAAAATCGAACATTATTTTGACTGTATTATCGTCCCAGCTTAATTGGTCTCAGGTGATCGTCACTGACCATGTAAATGAATTATTATTATACACGGTTGTGCATGTAGGATGAAAAAGTTCATTTAATAGCTGTTATAGCAGTATTTGTTTATTATAATAAATTACGAAAGAAAGCAAGTAAAATGTACAGAAATAAAGTCAATAAATGTATATTAATTCATCAATGAATCCAGGTGCAATTGGTACATGTAAGTATTTACCGAAAACCTTGAAAGCTAGAAAGTTTGATTGATTGCTAATTTTTACTGGGGGTCTCTAATATATACAAAGTATCGCGGAACTTTCCCCAATTCGAGATTCATAAGTTAGTGCTTATTTGAAGATAATGTATAAGGCTGTCTAGAACAATGTCCTTTATAGATCAGACTCGGAGATGCTCTTCACGAATGCACGCTGTACATAATATACAGTCACTGTACAAAGACATGAACGTTAACGGAGTTCTATGATAGAGAAATACATCGAAGAAATATAAACCGCTTCAGTGACGTTCAGTCTCTTCATAAAAATGCAAACACAGAGGGCAAATTGAAATGAAAGGACGACTTGCTAGAATCTTCAGAAGAATAGTAAGTAGACCTGTTCTACAACATCATTGAGCCTGTTACTTAATCCCCGTAAGGTGGGTACTGTGCCACCCTGTAAAGAATAACAATGGAGGACCAGTTCTATCGCCCCGTGGATCTTTTAACCCCTCCTCTGACTCATCCTAGACACGATCTTGGTCCATTAATTTTGAGCACACCTCTTTTTACAGAAAACTTCGGTGGCCGTCATCAGGGGGTCGTCTAATGACCGGCGGTCTTGACAGATGAACTGAGGTAATCCCGCATTATCTAGCATAATACGGTCACAAAAACACAGAGTGGACAATTTTAAAAGCAAACATTAAATCTTTACAGTTCTACAGTGTCCTTTTAACTCTTCCTGAGCAAATGGATTTAACATTTACTAAGTTGTTTTTAATTTGCATAACTCTTCTACTTTCAACTTGGTACATCGTGAAGTACACTTATTATACTTTTTACACAAGGAAAGAGTAGAAACTATGTAACACAGTTTTGTGACCAGCATCTCCTTTCATTTTGAAAACAAGACACGTCTCCACATGAACATGGAAATTAAGCTTCGGTCTACAGCATATCCTTTTGTTCTGCTGCACCCTTTCTTGGGGCGAAATGCATTTAGAATTTTTAATTTCTCATAAATACCACAAATATTTAACACCTGCAGTCACGCCTACTGAGCTAAATCGCTAGTTCGATTTGACAATGCGGTCAAACCATGGTCAACTATTAAATACTGTTAATTCTTTGAGTTATTGGTATTTGTTACAGATTCATTTTATACCGTAATTCTTTATAAGAACTTTTTGAGACCTATATAATCTTAGAAAAACACATTTATAAAATAAGAGACAGGTAATTGTCGTTAAAAATAACCAGTACATCATTTTGGGATACAGCATAAAATTATATACTTAAACCAGGATGTCACTGGAAAGTACATATATCAATCATCTCCAAATCCACAAAATAAAAAGAGAGAAAAACTTTTACCAAGATGAATTACATTTTTTGTTGAAAGTACAGGTATCCCCTTTCCTGAATTATGCCCCAGATTGATCTGATTGACATGTTCTTAACAGCAATAAAAAAAATGTAATGCAATTAGTTAAACAACATATTAATGAAGGGAATTTTTCATATAGACGGTTAAGATATACTGACTTGTAAGACTTTATATCAAACATGTATCTTGTCATTTGTCCCGTCCTCCGAAGAATCCCGCTACAATAAGCCTATATGCTCAGTCAAGCTCTAAGCTGGAACTGAAATATTATTTACATGGATCAGAAAGTGTTCCCTGTAGAATCTAGACAGAGAGCAGAATGTGTCTGCAGTATAGAGGTAGGCGTATGTAACTCAGAGAGCAAACTCTGTCTGCAGTATAGAGGTAGGCGTATCTCACTCAGAGAACAAGCCCTGTCTGTAGTATAGAGGTAGGCGTATCTCACTCAGAGAACAAGCCCTGTCTGTAGTATAAAGGTAGGCGTATCTCACTCAGAGAGCAAACACTTTCTGTAGTATAGAGGTAGGCGTATGTAACTCAGAGAGCAAGCCCTGTCTGTTGTATAGAGGTAGGCGTATCTAACTCAGAGAGCAAACCCTGTCTGTAGTATTGAGGTAGGCGTATCTAACTCAGAGAGCAAACCCTGACTGTAGTATAGAGGTAGGCGTATCTAACTCAGAGAGCAAACCCTGTCTGCAGTATAAAGGTAGGCGTATCTAACTCAGAGAACAAGCCCTGTCTGTAGTATAGAGTAGGCGTATCTCACTCAGAGAGCAAACCCTGTCTGTAGTTTAAAGGTAGGCGTATGTAACTCAGAGAGCAAGCCCTGTCTGTTGTATAGAGGTAGGCGTATCTCACTCAGAGAGCAAACCCTGTCTGTAGTATTGAGGTAGGCGTATCTAATTCAGAGAGCAAGCCCTGACTGCAGTATAGAGGTAGGCGTATCTAACTCAGAGGGCAAGCCCTGTCTGCAAGGTAGGCGTATCTAACTCAGAGAGCAAGCCCTGTCTGTAGTATAGAGGTAGGCGTATGTAACTCAGAGAGCAAGCCCTGTCTGTAGTATAGAGGTAGGCGTATTTCACTCGGAGAGCAAACCCTGTCTGTAGTATAGAGGTAGGCGTATTTCACTCAGAGAGCAAGCCCTGTCTGTAGTATAGAGGTAGGCGTATTTCACTCAGAGAGCAAACCCTGTCTGCAGTATAAAGGTAGGTGGATATAACTGAGAGAGCAAGCCCTGTCTGCAGTATAGAGGTAGGCGTATCTCACTCAGAGAGAAAGATTTGTCTGTAGCATAAGGGTTGGCGTATCTCACTCAGAGAGAAGAATGTATCTGTAGCATAAGGATAGGCGTTTTTCACTCAGAGAGCAAGTTGTGTCTGTGGCTTACGGGTAACTTACATAGGCAGATAGAAACCATTGTATGTATTATAGGGGTAGGCTTCATTTGTATCCCACTTAGAGAGTAAAAAGTTTCTACAGCTTAAGTGTAGGCGTATCTCATTCAGAGAGTAGGCTGTGGCTTAGGGGTAGGCGTACATAACTCATAAAGTGTGATGCAACTGTAGTATTAGGTTGGCTTATCTCATTCAGAGGGCAGAGTGTGTCTGTAGTATTAGGTGGGCGTATCTCATTTACAGAGCAAGATGTCTCTGTAGTATTGGGTAGGCGTATCTCATTTAGAGAGCATGATTTGTCTGTAGCATAGGGCTGGAGGTATCTCACTGAGAAAGTACGATGTGTATATAGCTTAAGGATAGACGCATCTCACTCAGAAAGCAGGATGTGCATATGTAGAGGGCTAAGCGTATCTCAAACAGAGAGCAAGATGTCTGTAGCATAGGGGTAGGCGTATCTCACCCAGATTGCAGGATGTGTCTGTAGCATTGGGCTAGGGGTTTCTCACTCAGATAACAAAGATAGACAGTGAACTCACAGAGTGATATGCAGCATAGGGGTAGGCGTATCTCACTCGGACAGCAGGATATGTCTGTAGTATTAGGTTAGGCGTATTTCACTCAGAGAGTAAGATGTGTCTGTAGTATAGGGATGGGCGTATCTTAATCAGATAGCAGGATATGTCTGTAACATAGGGTTAGTGGTATCTCACACGGACAGCAAGATATATCTAGCAAAGGGTCAGACGAAACTCACACAGGGAACAGGATGTGTCTGTAGCGTAGAAGTTGGCGTATCTCAGGCAAGAACAAGACTTTATCAGCCTCTGATAAAAATCTCGAAATTTCATTGGTCGAGAAGAAAATTCTTTTAAACCATATTATGCTGCCTACAGACATTATATTGTTAATGTGCCCCCTCCACGTGACCTACCCACAACAAATCAAATCAATATACCCCCTCCACGTGCCATACTGTCCAGGATCCGGGGTCATAAAACTTAGACAAGCTAACTTTTGATATAAGTCTCACTTTTACAGAAGGAATTAATCGTGGAAAAGTGAGACTGAGACCAAAAGTGAGCTCCTTTCTGCCTCGATACATTCTCATATCGTAACATATTTAACTTAATAGTTCCGCTCATAAACATTTTAGAATGCTAAATAATAATTAAAATGTAAAATTATGTCAGAAAGGTTGTAAAATTATACGCGTTAAGTCCGAACTCATTGAAGATGAAAAACAGGTTGACTGAC